AGAGAGTGCTGTACATTCACTCCCCCCACCTACAATCCCTGCCGGTACGAGACTCGAACCCACAACCTTTGGGTTATGAGTCCGACTCTCTAACCATTAGGCAACGACTTCCCCTTAATTAATGATTGGCACATCATGTCATTAATTAAGAATAGAAATGGCTAAGTTGATGTGATGAATTGACTTACTTCATCTGTGAGGACTGCGCTGTGACTCCGCTGTATCCGTTCATGTCTGGACTCTGCATTGCGCTCACAGATCCTCCACTGCAACACAATAAAAGCAGCGTCAGACGCACAAACATCACGAGACAGAGAACCGCCAGCACACGGATGGGAGAAATACACATACGCCAGGAACCATGAGAGACAGCTGTCAATCACACAGAGACACAGATGCCATCCGTATCACCTTCATCATCATCATCATCAAAGCTGACTCACTGCTCAGACAGAATGAGATTCACACATACGGCTCATATTCACTTATGACACAATCACGGAACAAAGATCAGATTTTCAGAATTTGTAATCAGATGTGTCAGTAAATGAGAGCTGGATGAGATATTTACTGTGGGAGGAGTCTAATGCTGTGTGTGTGAAATCATGTGATCACTCCGGGGTCTTCTGATTGGTCCTCTGTTTTGGAACTCCGGCGTGTAAAAGTTGAAATTATTTTCAACAAGCATGTTCTCATCTAATGTTATTTAATTATCTAACATGTAATCAGAGGCATCCGGACTTGAAACAGCATGTGTGTGTGTGTGTGTGTGTGTGTGTGTGTCACATACCGTTTTTCACCTACTATCAGCGATGGGGAAAGTTAATTTTAAAAGCAATGCTTTAAAATTTGGGCGTCCATGTATACATAATGTTCAACGCCTGCCATGTTTTAAAGCATTTTCCTCGCATTATTTCTGAACATATAATATGCATAAGACAAGTCTGTAGTAGACGTAGTTGTAGTTCATGCATCTTTTTTTTGCAAAGATATTTAACGTTAACAAGTGATTTGTTTAACATTTACATCACGTGTGGTGCACTTTAAATAGAAATTTCTTTAACTAGAGGGTTAATAAAGAAAAAGTTACTTGGATCATGTTGTAGTTATGTTTTTAAGTAAAAAATCGAGAATCGGTCAAACGGTCTGAAAAAAATCTAGTTTTTTTTTTTTTTGCCATATCGCCCAGCCCTAATTACAACATTGCATTACTCCATAAAAATAACTAACTGTGTTACTTAGTTACTTTTTATGGAAACTAATGCATTACTTTTGCGTTATTTTTTGTCACCTGAGCTGGACTTGCTTATTAATAATAAAAAATAAAAAAAAGTTATATTTTTTGGCAACTCTAAGGGCCCTTTCACATCAAAAGTGAAAAGTGCCAATTTCTTTCAACATGAGGACAGGAGAGCTGAGCTGTCAGTGAATGAATGGGGAAATTATTTGAAAAAGTAACTCCGATATGTGAGCCTGCAGCACAAAAGCAGTGTTAAGTCGCTGGGGGATATTTGTAGCAATAGCCAACAATACATTGTATGGGTCACAATTATAGATTTCTCTTTTATGCCAAAAATCATTAGGATATTAAGTAAAGATCATGTTCCATGAAGATATTTTGTACATTTCCTACCGTAAATATATCAAAACTTAATGTTTGATTAGTAATATGCATTGCTAAGAACTTCATTTGAACAACTTTAAAGATGATTTTCTCAATATTTAGATTTTTTTGCACCCTCAGATTCCAGATTTTCAAATAGTTGTATCTCTGCCAAATATTGTGCTATCCTAACAAACCATACATCAATGGAAAGATTATTTATTCAGCTTTCAGATGATGTATAAATCTCAATTTCAAAAAATTGATCCTTATGACTGGTTTTGTGGTCCAGGGTCACATATTTTCTTGTAAATTTAAAAGTAATGCATCATTTACTAGGTACTAGAAAAAGTAATCTGATTGCGTAACTTGTAATGCATTACTCCCAACAATGCTTGCTATACTAGGGAAGTATGCCATTGTGTGTGTGGAGTGTGTGGTTTATTTCTCCCACGCTGCTCCTCTCCTCTGAGCACAGGCATGGAGATTTAACTCAACGTCCCGCGTCACATGATCACAGACGACAGCGATGCTCTGACCTCACTGATGCTGCTGTTAACGGCTCGTTTAGTGCGTTTGAGATGATGAATGATCAGACAGTCAGTCTCCACCGCGCAACGCCGCACGTTTATAATTGGCCCGGCGCGGGTCGTTAGCAGGTTAATCTGGCCGATTGAGTAACGAGTCCGACAGTTAAACCGTCCAAGACCTTCAGCCTGTGCGACGGCAATCATTGAGCCGAATGTAAACAGAGAGTTTATTCTGACAGATGAACACCTGACGGGTTAAACACCTGAAACTGATCCTTAACCGGCACGTGTGCTGATAACTGAACACACACACACACACACACACACACTTACTCTCACACACACACACACACACACACTCACACAC